AAAGATGGTTTAAATGTACTTGAAGCAATTGCTCGCGTTTCAAAGTTTCCCATGTACAGATTTGCTATAGCAGGAGACAAAGGAGAGCCCATTGCTGCTCCTTCCTTTTGTTTAAAGAAGTCACCTCTCGACTTAAAGCTTTTGTGACTCCAGGAATTCATATTCTTGGGTCTTTCGGTAAAGTCACATAGATAGGTTCAAAGAAAATAATAAAAAATAACCGAAAATTACGACGTTTCGATCGCAACGCAAGCAGTCGTAGTTATTTTAGATTATTTTCTTTGAACCTATCTAAGTGACTTTACCGAAAGACCCAAGAATAAGTAAACTCTCCATAAGAAGTAAGTGTTATTTAGACAATGGAAAGCTAATTTTGAAATATCTTCTGGTAAACCTGTCTTCTTTACCAGTGCATCAAATTATTTAAGTAACTTGTTAACTGGAACGTGAGTGAATAAAGAAATCACATCAAAACTCACCAGAATATCATTAGGGTTAAGTTTAATATCCTAAATTACATTCACAAGATGTTCTGAATTTCTTATAAATGAAGAACTCCTACCGATGTTGGGCTGTATTTGTTTAGTTACATATTTCGCTAATTTATATGTGGCAGAGCCTATTGCGCTTACGATGGGTGGTAATGGGATACCGATTTCATGAATCTTTGGTCGCCCATACAGTCTTGGTGGTTTTGAGGCCCGTGGCTTAATTTGGTATTGCTCAGTCTCGGGGATCAATGGATTTGCAATGATTGCAGAAGTCTTGCGTTCTAAAGTATTGGTTGTATCTCCTTTAATTTTAATATAGGGATCTTCCTCCAGTAAATCTTTAATTGTATTATTATAATCTGTTCGGGACATCACTATAGTGCGGCCGTTATCAGCTGCCAGAATTTGAATTTCATTATTTAATCGAAGCTCTCTTAAGGCCTTTGCTTTGCCAAGCGTCATCGACATATCTAAACCATCTTTTTAGTTTAGATACGCCGATGACACTTGGGTTGTCTGGTCACATGGTAAAGATACACTTCATACATTTTTTAATAATCTCAATGCACAAAACCCGGCCATCCAGTTCGCCATGGCAATGGAGGTGAACAACACACTCGCCTTCCTGGATATTTTGCTTGGATGCGGTCAAAATGGTAAAATAACACGAGTGCCTGATTACTAATCTATTACATAATTGCAATATCCCCCCCCCCCACCTCCGCCTGTGATCTCGAAACGTGATGGGGTTCAACAACAATGACGTCATCCTGCTGCTCTATTTAAGACCGGAAGTAGGTGGATGGCTTCACTATTCTGGCAAATTGCCCGAAGATGCTGAATGTAATTACCAGCGAAACGTCGTACTCCACAAATTCTAAATGTTGTGTATTCACTCTTCAAACACACCGGTGGGCTGAACAAGTCACTAATTGGCGTTTTGTCAACGCGACACATGTTTTACGGATCGGACGTGTCGCGTGGTGGAGTGTTGCGAAACATTTATAATAACGTGATCTAACCCAGAAACCTTTATTATGAAATAGAAAATATTGCAGACATCAATTTTCACTCCGAAGTTAAATATTACATTACATTTTTAGAAACATTGCAGAAATTAGGTGAACATAGTACAGCACATACTAATACATACACAGCGATTCAAATTGTTTTAACACTTCTGAGAATTTGCAACAATATTGCAAGAAATGTGCCTCCGGGCTTTGGAGACCACCTGGAGAAGATTCCAGGCGTGTTGACAATGTTGGCGAACAAGTTCAGATTCTTGTGAAGCTATTAACATACATTTGTTTTCATATTTTTTGCAATTTAAACGCGTTCCATATAAGTGTCAACATTTGTTTAAGCACCCTGTATGTAACGGGCACACAAATGTAGTGTGCTAATTGACAGACACGAGTAGGAGGTCCTCTCTCTCTCTCTCTTATTCCAGCCTTCACAGCCTTCGGGGATAACCACACACCGAGTCGGGACAGCCAACACGCGGCCAGATCCACAGCTCGCAGAGGGCGAAGATCACGACCACGACGACGACGACACGACGAGTTCCACTCCAGCTCACAGCAGCCCCGACTGCGAGTCGGAGCTCGCCTTTAATCCTCCCCAGCGTGGCCAGGCTCCGCCCACGGCCCCCCGCACCCCTCTGGATCCCCCAGAGGGCTCCGTGCCTTGCCCACAGGTCCAGCTGGTAGTGAACGGGCTGCTACCCCGAGTTCTATTGTCGACCAATCTCCCAGCGGCTCGCGCTCCAGTGACTCATTCAATGTCACTACACAAGTGGAAATGGATGCACCGCAGGAAGTTAATTGGCAGGTAGCATGCGGTAGGGTAAAGGTGTGGGTACTTCCACCTCTTCCGATGCGTCTGGCCAGTGTGAAAGAGTAGACCAAAATATCCCTCTCAAGGGGCTCTCCAGAGCTCCCTCTCGTAGAGTCCCTTCTGCCAGCAGTGGCGTCAGCAGGACGTTGCAGGGCTGCGCCTTCACCTATTACCGTATGTACATTGTACATATGTTTACCATTCGCAAGACACCCACACGTACACTATCTACAATGCCAGCGCGACACGACAGCATTCACAGCGGCCTAATCTTGTGAATCGTGTCTGCGATGTCTTATTAATTGCTCTGTTACCATCTAACAAATAATGGATTCTCTGTATTGCAAGATCAACGTTTTCTCCCTGTAGTTTAAAGCGTCTGATAATCCGGTAGGCACGTGCGTGTGTGAGATTAGATTTGCATAACGTTATTGACACCAGTCATACGTTTGGGGTGCGTCTCACTTTCCGGAGCGTCTCATGATCTGGAGATCCGGTAACTCTACGTGGTATGGTGGAAAATGTAATATTCATAACTCTTGTAACGAGTAACAAAAATAGAAATTGTGTCGTTGTGGAGATTGAGTAACCACACAATACGCATGCTTCACACGTGTGGCCTTCCACGGAAACATTAAACACCTTTTTTCTTACACAAGTTTAAACTCTGGACCGGTTTCAAGAGACATAGCTTCATCAGCAGGGTCAGGCTTGCGTGAGCACACACATATCCAGACGTGGAGAAGCAAGGACAACCCTCTCCACGGGCCTCGCTTTGGCAGTGACGCACAACTACAGACAACAAGAAAACAACACATCTGTGTGGCCTTCAAGGGAAAGGTCTATTAGGCGACGTTTCGGGCAATGGGCCTTCTTGATAGCATAATGCATATGTTGAGTGGCTGTTGTCTATGTAACCAGTGCTCGTTTCCTTGGTGTTCTGATTCCAGGGAATCAATTCGGAGTATTTTTGATATCGACCCGAGCTCACGGAATGCATCGATAATTCCCGCTTCATTTGTAAATATGCACGTCCGGTGACACAGCAGACAAGAATTAGTATTGCTAGGATAATGGACGGCGGAAAGATCTTAACATTCGTCTAATTTTGCTGTCAAGGAGACAAGTAAAATCCTTTATGTTTTGTTAACCATGAACTATTATCATCATCATCATCTCTTACAGCATTTATCAACCATGCTCAGTGGCTCCACGGTAGATGTAGAGCGGTCGGCTCTCAATCAAAAAGTTGCGATTTAAAACATTTTGGCGACTGACAAATGCACGAGATGAAAGGTGAGTCGAGGCGTGTGGCATAGCACCGTCTGCACACTCTCACATCGAAGCCACTGCACCACCTCCGTGCTAGCGACACGTGCGCTGTGCCCACACACGGAATCGAGTGTGCTCGGCTCTGTGTGTGTGAGGCTCTGCTCTGTGTGTGTGTGAGACTCTGCTCTGTGTGTGTGAGGCTCTGTGTGTGTGAGGCTCTGTGTGTGTGTGTGAGGCTCTGCTCTGTGTGTGTGAGGCTCTGTGTGTGTGAGGCTCTGTGTGTGTGAGGCTCTGTGTGTGTGAGGCTCTGTGTGTGTGAGGCTCTGCTCTGTGTGTGTGTGAGGCTCTGCTCTGTGTGTGGCCCTGATCTTTGTGGCTCTGCTCCCTGTGGGTTTTGTCTCCGTGTGTGAGGCTCTGCTGTGTGTGTGGCTCTGTGTGTGTGGCTCTAATCTTTGTGGCTCTGCTATGTGTGGCTCTTATCTCTGTGTGTGAGGCTCTGCTGTGTGTGTGGCTCTGTGTGTGTGGCTCTAATCTTTGTGGCTCTGCTATGTGTGGCTCTTATCTCCGTGTGTGAGGCTCTGCTGTGTGTGTGGCTCTGTGTGTGTGGCTCTAATCTTTGTGGCTCTGCTATGTGTGGCTCTTATCTCCGTGTGTGAGGCTCTGCTGTGTGTGTGGCTCTACTCTGCTGTGTGTGTGAGGCTCTGCTGTGTGTGTGTGTGGCTGTGTGTGTGTGTGGCTGTGTGTGTGTGACACTCTGTGTGTGTGGCTCTGCTGTGTGTGTGTGGCTCTGTGTGTGTGTGACGCTCTGTGTGTGTGGCTCTGCTGTGTGTGTGTGGCTCTGTGTGTGTGTGTGATGCTCTGTGTGTGTGGCTCTGCTGTGTGTGTGTGAGGCTCTGTGTGCGTGGCTCTGTGTGTGTGTGTGTGAGGCTCTGTGTGTGTGTGTGTGAGGCTCTGTGTGTGTGTGTGAGGCTCTGTGTGTGTGTGTTGGAGGCTCTGTGTGTGTGTGAGGCTCTGGGTGTGTGTGTGTGCGCTCTGCTGTGTGTGTGTGTGAGGCTCTGTGTGTGGCTCTGCTCTGTGTGTGTGTGACGCTCTGCTCTATGTGTGAGGCTCTGCTGTGTGTTTGAGGCTCTGCTGTGTGTGTGTGAGGCTCTGTGTGTGTGTGAGGCTCTGTGTGTGTGAGGCTCTGTGTGTGTGTGTGGCTCTGCTCTGTGTGTGTGTGTGACTGCTGTGTGTGTGTGCGGCTCTGCTCCGCTGTGCGCGTGTGTGGGGCTCTGCAAGTCTCGCAATTGGCTGATGAGAAATTCCGTGTGCGGGGAGATGAGGCCGGCCCAGCTGCTGGAGCGGCCAGCACCGCCCACACACGCCCCGCGCTCTGCGACACTCACAGCGACAGCACGAGCGGCAGCAGCGTCGCCTCACCCCTCCTCTGAGCATCGCCTCCTCTCTGGAGCTTCCCGCTATCTCTGCCCTCTCCGTATGCGCGTGTTCGCCTGACCATCTCTGGCACTCTGCTGCCACTCCGCGTAGCCTGTGCGTGTGTGCTCGTGCGCGTGTGTATCTGATCATTGCAAAGAGATACATTTCAAGTGTTGTGTGCAACGCTGGAATTTAGCTCCTCCGTTGTGTTTTTCGGGTTGTATCTCCCGCGTGTTTGTTCGGGACGACGTTTCGCTCCACCTAATGGGGAGCTGCTGGCGTTTAACGCGTGAAGCAACCGGGTGACTTTAAAACAAAAACATTGAGAATGTGTTTGTACAGTATACACGTATACTGTCGGCGTGCAAAAGGAACGCAAATGCAGCTGGAGATGAATTTTGAATTGTGAAGGAAAAAATGGGAACGACTGAACGAATTATCCGGGACTTCTGCCAGCGGTGACACTAATAGTTGCCAGACATACACGCACGTGCGTCTGTGTATGAACGGTGCCATTCATTCATGTAGCTATAGGATTTATATACTAATAAGGCAAGACTCGCAATACTTCTCACCTGTTCAGTCGCTGAAGGCGAAGTCTGTAAAACGCGCAGAAAGCGGAGTCTGGGACCCAACGCTGCACTGCCCGGTAAGAAACAACAGCATGCATCATCATACACTGGTGGCAACACGCGCGTGTGCTGGGCGGGGAGCGGTGGTGCTGCTGGTGGCAACACGCGTGTGTGCTGGGTGGGGAGCGGTGGTGCTAGTGGTGGCAACACGCGTGTGTGCTGGGTGGGGAGCGGTGGTGCTAGTGGTAGCAACACGCGTGTGCTGGGTGGGGAGCGGTGGTGTAGTGGTAGCAACACGCGTGTGTGCTGGGTGGGGAGCGGTGGTGTAGTGGTAGCAACTCGCGTGGTGCTGGGTGGGGAGCGGTGGTGCTAGTGGTAGGCAACATCGCGTGTGTGCTGGGTGGGGAGCGGTGGTGCTAGTGGTAGCAACACGCGTGTGTGCTGGGTGGGGAGCGGTGGTGCTAGTGGTAGCAACTCGCGTGTGCTGGGTGGGGAGCGGTGGTGCTAGTGGTAGCAACTCGCGTGTGTGCTGGGTGGGGAGCGGTGGTGCTACTGGTGGCAACACGCGTGTGTGCTGGGTGGGGAGCGGTGGTGCTAGTGGTAGCAACACGCGTGTGTGCTGGGTGGGGAGCGGTGGTGCTAGTGGTAGCAACTCGCGTGTGCTGGGTGGGGAGCGGTGGTGCTAGTGGTAGCAACTCGCGTGTGTGCTGGGTGGGGAGCGGTGGTGCTAGTGGTAGCAACACGCGTGTGTGCTGGGTGGGGAGCGGTGGTGCTAGTGGTAGCAACTCGCGTGTGCTGGGTGGGGAGCGGTGGTGCTAGTGGTAGCAACTCGCGTGTGTGCTGGGTGGGGAGCGGTGGTGCTACTGGTGGCAACACGCGTGTGTGCTGGGTGGGGAGCGGTGGTGCTAGTGGTAGCAACACGCGTGTGTGCTGGGTGGGGAGCGGTGGTGCTAGTGGTAGCAACTCGCGTGTGTGCTGGGTGGGGAGCGGTGGTGCTAGTGGTAGCAACACGCGTGTGTGCTGGGTGGGGAGCGGTGGTGCTAGTGGTAGCAACACGCGTGTGTGCTGGGTGGGGAGCGGTGGTGCTAGTGGTAGCAACTCGCGCGTGTGCTGGGTGGGGAGCGGTGGTGCTAGTGGTGGCAACACGCGTGTGCTGGGTGGGGAGCGGTGGTGCTAGTGGTAGCAACACGCGTGTGTGCTGGGTGGGGAGCGGTGGTGTTAGTGGTAGCAACACGCGTGTGTGTTGGGTGGGGAGCGGTGGTGCTAGTGGTAGCAACACGCGTGTGTGTTGGGTTGGAAGCGGTGGTGCTACTGGTGGCAACACGCGTGTGTGCTGGGTGGGGAGCGGTGGTGCTGCTGGTGGCAACACGCGTGTGTGCTGGGTGGGGAGCGGTGGTGCTAGTGGTGGCAACACGCGTGTGTGCTGGGTGGGGAGCGGTGGTGCTGCTGGTGACAACACGCGTGTGTGCTGGGTGGGGAGCGGTGGTGCTAGTGGTAGCAACACGCGTGTGTGCTGGGTGGGGAGCGGTGGTGCTAGTGGTGGCAACACGCGTGTGTGCTGGGTTGGGAGCGGTGGTGTAGTAGTCAGCGCGCTGCGCTAAGAACCCGACCACCCGAGTTCAATTCCCACTCACGGCCAACACCAGTGACGGTTATTTGAACCCGTCCTGTTCCTCCCCTTGGTCGACTCAGCCTGAAATGACTACCCCGTGCGGTGTGTAAACATCGCCACTGGAGAGACAAAGGCGGCCGGGTGTGGTTGTGGCCACACCAACTCGTCGTGTACCGCGTCGACTTTCACATGTGCTACTCGCGAATAGAACTTGCTCCAACAGTCTATCGAAGGCTATACGGGAGATCTTTGTCTTTTGTTTTGGAGGGTGCCACTACAACTGGGCGACCAGGATTCGATTCCTTGACGATGTACAAATGCGATGGCACGTCTGTATCCGAGTCAGCTCTGGGTCTCCTCTAGGTCAACTCAGCCTTAGATGAGACCCCGGTGCTGTGTGTTGGTTGAGAATCGGACTCGGTTTCTCGGGAATCAGAATATTGATTTACACTCGAGGAATCCGATGAGCTGTAAAGCACTTTATCACATATGTCCAGGTGCGCGAGCCGCTGAGCCACACCGCTCCTCCATCACCATCGCAGTGGATAGTCGCGTGGTGCCATTGAGACCCTGGGAGACAAAGGTGGTGCCGGTCACACCCGCCACTCTCTTGCACTACGCCGACAGTCAATAGGTGCTCGCAAACAAACGATGTTTCTACCCCGGCAGGAAAAGTCTCGTGAATGGAATACGTGTGCGTGATTTGTGCGGACTATCTTCACTAAATATTGAAACGCTTTAAATTTCGCACGAACATGCTGAACGCATTGCAGCCCTTTGCCAATCCACTGCTGGATGAAGGCCTGCCCAAGGGGAGGGGGGTGGTTGTCTGACCATACTTCACCACGCTGGTCGGCGCCGGTTGGTAAAGGGGGGCGAGAGGGAGAGGAGGTATCGGGACCGGGTCGGGATCGTCTTGGCGAGGTACGCCGCCAACCGTGGCGCCACCGCTCCCTCCCGCGGTGAGTGACGTCTCGTGGGGCGATAAGCGCGGTCTGTCGGGCGGTACACGGGAGATGGAGACACGTGACGCAAAGGAAAGGTAGTTTTGCTTTGTCAATTATTGTACGGGAGGAAAATATCATTGTGCACCTCCGATTGGTGCGGTTGGCTACGTACGATGCAAAAGAAGTTCAGCATTTGTGCATACATTTGTTTTGCTTAACGCGTGTTGTATATGCGCATTCGGCCACTATGTACATGTCAGGCAATGCACGATGCATGGGCTACTTTGGTGGTCACCCATGGGTTAATGGAGGCACGCATCCAAGGGAAGTCGGCTTTCCTTCAATGCTTAAATTTTTATGTTTGGCTTACTAGACCTCATGAAAAATGTAACCACTTTTCGCAAATGTCACGTATCTTTTTCATTTACTTAATAGTACCTTGCAGTACTTAACATAACAATCCTCGCACTGCTGTGTGAATTAGCACACTGTCCGGGCTTGACACGTGTACATGGCCGTGTGTGATGATGAGCCAGTTGAGGCGAACTTCTCGTCTTCGTGTAACTGGCTGTGTTTCGGTGGTGCGGTAAAATGTGAGTAACCCCTCCGTGTGTCAAGCAGTCTGGCTGGCAAGGTAGCGTTGGCGGTTTGGGATGGCTGATTAATTATCGCATTGCCACTTAGCGGAGCCAGAGCGGGGTGGTGTCTGCTTATGTAAGCTTGGTGATCGATAACGATATTGATTATCGGTTCCATTATTCAACGAATCGGATAAAGATTTGAAAAATAACGTCTCGCCTCTGGACCAAGTGTGCCTCTGGACGGGTGGTGATAGACGGGGCTTGGTGATAGAAAATTTATTATCGGCACGTCACGCTGCTGGGCGTGGCTTTATGGGGGTTTCCAGCCTTCGGGTTGGCATGATAGTTTGGGCGACGGCGATTTTTAAAGGGGCTTCAGTAATCGACAACAAAACAATCTGCTACGGATTTGTAATTGACAAGGAAGGCCACGTGACCGTTAAGAAGAAAAAAACGAACGTGCATTTTGTCAGGACAAATTTTGGCAGAATTGTTGGTTCCTTGTTTATCCGCTGCGCTGCACTGGGTCAAGAGCTATACGCGGAATATCAATATATAAAATCATTTAAATAAATCTCAAGTATTATACTCATGTAAGTGGGAATGAACAGAGCTGTCTCCAGAAGAAGGGGATGTTGGCTGACGGTCAAGAATAATCACGGAGTGTCAGACTAGGGTCCCCCACCGAGGAGATGGAGCGATGAAATCTGCTCGTGCGTAGGGCGGATTGGTGCATTGAATGATCACGAGGATTTCATCCAACAGTAGATTGACTTTGGCCGATTGTGAGGGAGATATTGATGGACGTACTATGAGCGGTGGTGCAGACGTAAGCGACGAACTCGGCCACCCGAGTTCGATTCCCGCTCACGGCCACCAACACCAGTGATGATTATCTGAAGCAGTCCCGGGCATCCCCTAGGTGGACTCAGCCTCAAATAAGTACCTGCTTTTGTGTGTAAACATCGCCACTGAGGAGACAAAGGCTGTCGGGCGTGGTGCTGGCCACCCACCCCCTCGTGTGGCGTGCCAGCCTTCCTAGCTGCTGGCTAACAGCACTTGCCCCGACAGTCTGTTAAGGCTACACGGGGGATCTCTGTCGTCATACTATGAGTTGACCTACTAAAGGGCAGCCCATGGTGGCTTTGTGGAGTCAGCTGACTTGCCGTTGGTGTTTCATCAGCGGTGAGTTTCGAGTGTCCGCCTGTCGCCCGTGGAGTGTTGTGTTCTTGTCGTTGTTTTACGATGAATAAATACCAAGCGGCCAGCAACAAATGGCACCGATGAAGGGTGTAATCCACAAGAGATGATACATTGTTTCGGTTTAATTGAGCAAATAAAGGAGTGGAAGGTATTTTAACGTTTTGACCGACCCACCTTCACACACAAGTTATTTTACAAACATTTTAACGCTGAGCCCTCCTAAAAACCAAGTCTTCAGAATCAGCCAAGTTTACCCTGATGAATAAATGGCATTGCTCATGATTGTTATTGTTAATAATTCATCAGCTTGTGAGCAGCCAGACGCACACACACACGTCTGCACAAATGTTGCTTAGTTTGCAATCCGTCTTTGTCGGTTTGATGAATTAAGTGCTTTCTTGTGGCTGAGGCTAAACCCCGCTGAACTTTTAATACAACTATGCTCTGTTTGCCTTTTCATATTAAAAGATTATATTCCGGCGACATGTACCGCAGTGAATGTGCAAGTGAGGGCTGGAGGGATTGGAGAGGCATTGTGCAGGCAGGGTGTGGAGATGACGAGAGGGAGGAAGAGGCTGGCTCCTGTAATGCCATAATTACATCCTTATTAAATACAATAACGGCACTAAGTAGACTGCAGTGCGCCTCCCGTCGTAAAGCCAGCATGTGTTCGTATCACTAATGTTGATGAAACGCGATTTAAAAAAGATGAAATATCTATGGGACCTTTTTTG